TGAAATCACTGAGAAAAAGAGTAAAAAAGTCTATAGTCAAATTAAAATCACTGAAGAATACACAGAGGATGAAGATTTAATTGTTTGTGAACTTGGTGTACAAACTGATCCACACGATGATCATGCATATCATAGTACACCGAAAGAAACTTATACCTCTATGACTTCACGCGGAGAAACTGAGAAACACTTAGTTCATGAAAGCATCCAGACATCAGTGATTCACCTAGCCAATATTATTGCTACAGGTGACTTAGAATGGGCTGATTCCGATTTACGTGAAGTAATCAAAACTGGTATCAAATTTATTGGCAGTGATATTCATAAATTTGAAGAAACCTCTCTTCGAACATACAAAACACAACATTCACGGTTCGAATACGATTCGCCTGAAAAAGTATTTGTCACTACCGGTACTCAAGTAATTCCAATAGAATTAAATCTGGAGAAAAGATTTCAGAAGGAATGGACAACTGAAACAATGTCGGTACATCATAAAGCATCAGAATCATTCCAACAAGATTCGGATATTTCTGATAAAGTAGAAATGCTTACAGAAGGTATTCATCACACGTAAGTAATGAAATATTTTTCTGAGATTTTTGTAAATTGCTCTATAATTTTCATGTGTTAGCTTGTAGAGATTTGATTCTTATTTCAAGTTTGACCTTAGATCGATATCAGTTAGAGAACTATTTCAAATAACTAGGGAGTACTTGACATCTGTTTCGACCTAGTAAATGAATATGATGCACTTTGCCTTATTAAAAAAAGTTCGTTACTAATTCTCATATCTCCTGCCCTTGCAATATGACCATTGATTGATACAGCTAGTAGATTTGCGAGTCTACCCTTCCAATTACTATTCACAACGCTGCAAATATGGACGGGATTCAGACTTAGAGGCATTCAGTCTTAATCCCTCAGATGGTAGCTTTGCACCACTGGCCTTTCGACCAGGCACATATACCACTTGTCTGAACCTGCGGTTCCTCTCATACTAAACAGGATTACCACAGAAACGGCCAGATTGTACTTCACTGATTACTGTACTCATTAGTAGGGTAAAACCAACCTGTCTGACGACAGTCTAAACCCAGCTCACGCTCCCTATTAGTGGGTGAACAATCCAGAGCTTAGTGAATTCTGCTTCACAATGATAGGAAGAGCCGACATCGAAGGATCACACGGCGACGTCGCTATGATCGCTTGGCCACTACAAGCCAGTTATCCCTGTGGTAACGTTTCTGACACCTCTTGCTTCAAACTCTGAAAATAATATTCAAAAGGATCGATAGGCCACGCTTTCACGGTCTGTATTCGTACTGAAAATCAAAATCAAGTTAGCTTTTGCCACTTTACTCTACGCTAGGTAACTGTCCTGACTGAGTTCACCGTAGGACAAATGCGTTACCATTTGACAGATGTACCGCCCCTGTCAAACTCCCCGCCTGACATAGTCTTCAGAATGGGTCCACATTACATCAGAACTCAAACACTGCAATCTGCACCATGATTCATCTAACATGACCATGATACTGACACATGCAGCGTTAGACCACGTATACCAGTATGCGCTTCACACCAAAATACCACTTCGTTCCCGTTTCATTGAATAAGTAAAGAATAATAATAATAATTCACTTTATTCCAAAAACAGTACTTGTGATACATAATGGAATTTTCAGCATTAATCACAATAATGCACCTAATTTACTCAAATTATAAATAAAAATTAATCAAACAGAAAATCTTCCACATTTACAATAGGGGTCATGTCAAACACATGCAGCATATAAAATGGAAATAGTAATAATGATAAGAGCTAAGGTAATAATAATAATACAAGGGAAAATTGCCGTGGGCTTGTTTCACACAGTATTGTCGATGAGGTATAGAAATCCTAGCATGTTTAAAAATATTGAATATAATGTTCTCTTTACATGATATGGTGAGGGGAAAAACAAAGATTACAGCAGTCATAGAGATAAGTTGGTGTTTGCAATTATGAAAGTAAAACAAAGAAGCAACAGGACCATAAATATAATAGAAATAATAAACGTAAAACTTGAAGGTATGTAAGGATGGATGGAGGAAATTGTTTATTTACAAGATGAAAAAAGGTTAGTTAATTCTTGCCTGACACTATTTTCATCACATAAAATAACTGCCAAGCATGGTATCATAGAATTTTTATACTTAGACGTACGAGCATACAGTTTTCTGAAGTTACTTCTTGTTCTACCTGAGGAGATGCAAGGTGAAAGCTGAGGGTAAAGTGGATGCTCCAAGTCAGACAAAATCCCTTTAGCAAATTTATTGTACGAAGTCAAGTGCCTATCGACAACGACGTTAACTATGTGGTCCACTGGGACACCACTCACCCTACTGACTGACAGTCTTCAGCATTCTACGAATTGTGACATAGTCCTTTTTAAGCAAACCAGGAAAGAATAAGGGTGAACAATAAAGAAGAATAGGTAGGATACAAGAGTTTATGAACTGTAAGAGGAGGGGTTGAGTTATACCCAAGTGCCTTAACTTCGTAATGTAAAATGTCAGGCGGAATATTTTACTGGAGATCGCTTAGACATGGGAAGACCAGGAGAGATCAGACAGCAGTGGTATTTCACTGACGCCAGGCACCGAAGCACCCAGCTCCCGCCTATTCTACATCCATCTGATGTAATAGACAGGAGCTGGGTGCTTCGGTGCCTGGCGTCAGTGAAATACCACTGCTGTTAGCTTGTTTTATATATATATATATATATATATATATATATAGAGAGAGAGAGAGAGAGAGATTTAAAAAGATAGAAATCAATCAACAAGCCAACTATCGATCCAATATTACTTAGCAGGCAGTATTTGAAAAAGATTAGATCTATTGATAGACTAATTATAGCTGTTCACTTCATGTACAGAATTAAGGGCATATAATAACAAAACTAGAGGGTATATACCACACAGGAAGATAATTACCACGGCCTAAATAAAATGTTGATACACCAAATGATACAAATCCCAAGGGAAATCAATAAAGACGTAGTACGCAAAATATAAACTCATACTACTTGCTACTGATAAGTAGTATAAGATTAAGCACAAAAGAAACAGTAGTAAAGGATACATTTGAAAGGAATTAACCCACAATACACCAAATTTATACCAATGAAATTGATGTATAACCATCGGTTAATAAGATATTAACTGAAATGACAATATACTTGGTCGTCCACTTTTTTGATAGATCATTTCATGAATTAATGGTGTTTTCTGGGAGGCACTTCCATTAGAATTGAAAGCAATCATTTTCCCATAGGAATTTAAAACAAGCAACAAAAGTTAATATAGAAGGGCCTAACAAAGCCATCAAACTTTGAATATATATATATATATATCACTGCATGTAGAGTATTCAGTTGAAGAGTTCTACTGAAATTCGATGAATTCATTAAATCCTGCTTTAATATCATTTGTTGCTTGTTTGAAAAGTTTTATTGAAGACATTTTCGATTTCATAAACATTTCTTTATCATATCGAATGGTTTTGTTAACTTTGTGAACAGATTTTGGTGCGAGCAAACAAGCTTACATACATTATCTCCTCAGTAAACATGAAATATGAATTTGTAGTCTACATGTCACCACCTATTTCATAGAAATTCCCCTGTGAAGTAGTATACCCATTTCATTTAGTCATCTTCATTTCCTCCTGTTCTCGGCAGTCCTCTTTAGTTGGCCCCACGATTGCCTACACCCTCGAACCGACACCTAACTCGTTGTTTTCCATTCAGGTCCCACTCGAGTGACAGCTTCTCTCACGATGCCATCCAGTAGTCTCCTCAGTGTGTGCTCGATCCATCTCCGTTTCCTCCCACATATTTCTTGGACAGTAGGCTCCCGATTGATTCGTTCCCTAATTTTCTTATTGCTAATCCATTCTGGACGGCCATCTGATCTTCAGTGTGGAACCAGAGAAGTTAGCTGTTGATAAAACTCCGCAACCTGTTAGAAATGCTTTTCGTGATGCCCGCGCCAATTTTCTCATCCATATAAAAGAACTGACTGACTTAACATTGATGTTGAAAACCTGACTCTTGTTCTTTATTCTGAGTACATCAAATTTCCAAAATGATTTCAGAGTGTTGAACACGTCTAACTTGCCTCTCCGATCCTGGCTGGTTTTCACATCATTATTCATGCCTGATGTAACTCTCGCTCATTAAGACATTCCACTTGGTTCATTTATTGTAAGGTTATGAAAACAACTTATTTTTCCTGTAGCGTTCGAAAAAACTTAGTTGTGATGAATGTTCAACATTGGGTCTATAAAAGTAATAAACTTCATTCAAAAATATCAAAAGAATGGTTACTGAACAAAGAATTTTCTTTGCGATAACTCCTACTTCAGCAGGTTCTACAGTTATATGCATCCATAACAGTGAATGAATGAATGAATTAGTGTTATTAACAACATTAATGTTGTTTAAATAACATCGAATCAATAATTATAATAAAATCAATAGATTACAGTTCAATAGCATCAACATAACAATACACTGAATATCAAACAGATTAGGAAAAATAATAATAGAAATTCTCGAATTTATAGTCTTCACAGAAGGCCGGCCAGGGCAGTAGTAGTGGATGGCTGGAGTTATTTCTTCTGCACACAGAGAGCCCCGGTTGTTTCAGGCCAGTCATGATAGCCTCTGTTCCTTGGAGTATGCGGTGACTGGATGGTTTTGGTAATTTATTTGGTACCCAAAAATAACTGAGGTACCGTATGCTCCAAACAGCAGAAGCTATCGGGATTCTCCAGAGACAACTGGTGCTCCGTGTGCAAAAGAAGCAAGTCCAGTCACTTATACTGCCCTGGCCTCCAGTAGAGACTATAAATTCATGAATTTGTGTTATTATCTTTCCTAATTTCTCTGATATTCAGTGTGTGGTGTTATGTTGATGCTATCGAACTGTAATCCACTGATATTATTATTATTGATTCGATGTTACTTAAACAACATTAATGTTGTTAATAACACTAATTCACTATTATGGATGCATATAACTGTAGAACCTGATGAAGAAGAAGGGGTTATCGAAAGGAATATTCTCTCTTCAGTAACCATTGTTTTGGAAATTATAATGAACACTTTTAATTAGTCGGACATAGCATATCAGTAATCCTTTTTGATGATTATTAAAACTTGAGATGCGCTATTCTTGATATCTAACACACTTTTGATTAATTCTTGTTCATCTGCTCTTTTCTTTTATTATTCTGTTTAAAACTTAACTTGCAAATTGTTTATTTTTACTCTGACGCTAAATATCTTAACACCTTGCTTACGATTGCTGTCAACTGAAATTCATACACAACTGATATCATTTATACGATTCCCTAGTAGGCCAGTTAATCACATTGTTTTAACAACTCCAAACTTCCATATTTGACTATGGATTGATGTGGTATCAGTTAGAGACCGGTTGAAAACCGCCAATGAGTACTGGATAGTTGTTTCGTCCTTGTTTCGGACTCACCTACACTGCACACCCACCACCATTCTAACCCACGACCTTGATTTTCGCCAGTAATTGTCTGCATAACTCAATTGCCTGGATTTCTAGTGAGAAATCATAACCGGTAGGGTCAACCAGGTTGGTGTTGAGGACATATACTCGCAAATGACATCGGCTGGTGATCGCTCGAAAGTCACATATTGGTAGGAGTTAGAATTTATGGGCTGGTCGGAATGGCCCACGAGCATTCCTTGTAACCGAAAGGTCCTGACTTCGAATTCCAGTAAGTGTGTACTGCTGAATGGTTCCAAACTAGGACGAAAAACCTGTCCAGTACTCTTTGGTGGTTTTCAATAGTCCCGTAACTGCTATCAATCTTGGGTGAGAAAAGCGAAACAAAACAAGTCCCTGAGAAAACTAACTCCTAAAGAATTCGAGGTTGTTTTCCTACTCACCTCAACTAGACATAATGCTCATGGCGTTATGTGGGCATCTATCGTGATACACTTGGGCTTTGGTCACACAACTGGCTGACCCCTTAACTTGGCCCACCTAACCTCCTGGCCAGGTTACTCTTAACACCATCCTCAACTAATGAAGGGAGGATATAGTACTTACTTCTGTTCATGGATGTATTTTAGGCAAGAAACATACAAAGATAAGAATACATCAACTTAATACAATACAGCCACCTGTAGTCTCTGTTCCCTTGAAAATCCATTTATCTTCCATGTGTGTTCATCAATGCAAGCAAACAAGTTGGTTATTAGAGGTTAGCCTCACACCCAACCTCCCCTTTTCCATGAGGTCATTGCCAGCTGGTAAACTAGTCGGTCTAAGAGTTCAATGGCGAGGAAGTGAACCCAGACAGACGCAAAAGCTGTTTTCCACTGGGTTGCTTATTTTAAAATTAGGGTATTAATTCTACCAACTGATAATAATGTAATGGTACTGAGTTTAGTGTATGAGGACAGGATGAGTAATGTATTTATCTTTGGTGTCTTGTGATTATACAATTACAATGATAAATATTCTGGTTTGTGAGTACTGGAAACTGTTTTTTTTGTGGATTTACAAAACGTGTTATCGTCATTTTGTAGAAATGTATATCCATCGGCTGTTCAATCATAAACTGTGCACCAACTACTCACGTGCTTGGAATTCAATTCCTGGCTAACGCCCTCCTAAACCTCGATTAGTTTAATAGCGTACAGTTACCCTAGAAAAGAAAGAGAGGAGGACAGCCGTGAGGCTAGCGGCCATACTGCATAAAAACAACACCATCATTAATGAAATTTCACAACTCTGAGTTCTGCAACTATTATACTACTGAATAACTGAGATAAGTAGTTGTATAGGTCTCATAACAACCAGCAGCGCTTGCTAGCTAGATTGGAGTGATCTAAACACCGGATGGCAGTTTCACTAATTTAAAGATGAGCTCATCAGCTGACAGAGCCGGATTAGTTCAACCGTTGACCATAAAGGTTTATATCCTATGTGAAATCTCAACAGTTTAGACAAAAAGCAGTCTAGTCTGATGATGCTTGACGAATTATTATTTACTATCATTATTCCCTTGGATTCCGAGTGGAACATTCGGATTCAACAACACATCTCCACTTTGTTCTATTCTTTGTTCTCCTCTTCAGCTGGCTAAGCCCACGACTGCCCATAATCTCTCATCTCCTCCTCCAACTCACATGATCTCCTCCATGCCACCCTAATACCAACGACCCACTCATCGCTTCCCACTGGGATTCCACCTTAGCGAAAGCCTGTACTGAGCGTGATGTCATTCGATGGCCTCCTCAATGTTTCCCCCATCCATCTTTACCTTCTCCTACATATTTGTTGAGCGATCGGCTCTTTCTTGTTGGTTTGTTCCCATAGTTTGTTGTTGCTTATTCTTTCTGCATGGCCATTTTATTTCCAATATGGAGCCATCGAAGGTTGCAGCTGTTGATACAAGTCTGTAACTTGTTGGAAATCCTTTTCGTGACACGCCGAATTTCTGACCCGTATAGAAGAACTGACTTCACATTGGTGTTGAAAATGACAATCTTGTTCCTTATACTGATTTCGGAAGATTTCCAAAATGCTTTTAGATTGATGAAGGCGTATCTTTCTTTTCCCATCCCGGCTAGCTTTGACGTCTTCAGCCGTACCATCCGCCTGCATTTGAAAGGATGCTTCCCAGATAAGTGAAGTAGGTAACCTCTGTGAAATCTCTTCCGTTGATACTGATTGGTGATGATTGTTGTAGCTGCTGTTTGGTTGGTTATCTTCATCATCTCCGTCTTCTCTATGCTCACCTGCAGTCCTGTCCTCTCTGCCGGCTCTTCTATCAGCTTGCTGGTTTTCGCCTGCAAGTTTTCGAGTTTGTGTAATATTAAACATAAATCATCCACACGTGAAATCCAGATCTTCTCGAGTCTTCGTATCGGTCGTCCAGCGTGTTCTTGACGCCTAGCCCCCAACAGTATTCCGCATAATGCAGTCCACCACAATTAAGAATATCTTCGGTGGTAATAGGCAGCCTTGTCTTACTCCTGTATGCACTTCGAACGCCTCGCTGAGTTTTCCGTTGTGGATCACTTGACACGTAGCACACTGTCACATAGCTATGGTTGAATGAGTTTGACAAAGAATTGAGGTACTCCGTATTGTTGAAATAGTTTCCAAATTACTTCTCGGTCAACACTGTCTTTCGAAGGCCTTTTCGAAATTGATGAAGGAGGTTAAGGTAGAGGTTTGACTGCCATTCTATGCTTTGTCGTGTGATGACGATGCGTAGAGTTGCAGTTTGATCAGCACATGAATCCAGCTTGTTCGGTGGCTGGTGGAGTTCTGTATCCAGTGCATCCTATATTCTCTCCAGGATGATGCGACTAAGTATTTTACTCGGCGTGGATAAGAGCATTATTCCACGCCAGTTCTTGCACAGTCGCCCTAATTCGTCTAAGGCGAGGTTAACATGTGTGTAATAGAAGCATAAAATCTAAGTTTTCAACTAGCTGACTAATTACAACTATAGAATCTAAAGTAATAAGTCTTCCACATGACAGTCTAACTTAAATGATTAGATGTGTAAATTATGTTTGTTTATATTAACATATGTGTATGTGTGTTTCTTTATTCTACAGGCCAAAGATCTTAGTCCAACTACGTCAAAGAACATTACAATATGAATTATTTGAATCCCAATATTCAACAACTAGCATGCATTGGAATAATATTCGTGAAGTAGCCAGTCCAAGAACAGGATTATTCGCTCCTGTTGCAATGGCAATAAGAAGAGGATGGATAAGATTAGGTGAAGTGAATGAATATATTGATCCAATGACTGGTGTAGCCATCCCCTTAGAAACAGCTTATCAACAAGGACGTATTCGGTTGGCTAGTACATCAAGTAGTTATGATAGAAATATTATTACAAATACACCAATATTACTGCTAATTGAAAGAGTTTATTTCAGTTGGTGTAAAGCTTACTTGACCAGTGTGATTGATACAGCCACTGGGGAAGTATTATCACCAGATGCAGCTATCTTAAATGGTATCCTTGAAACAACTGAAGATGAAATACGCCTATTGGATAGTTTAACCAATACATGGATTACTATTGAAGAAGGCGCTGGTCGACAAATCATTCAACTAGAACCATCAACACCAACAACTGAATCTATGGAAGATGAATTAGATGAACCAGCTAGTTGTAAAGTTTACCAGTTGACACATATTTGTCCTGGAGGTGAACCATCTCCATGGTTAAATCCATTAGAAGCGGTACGTTTAGGTTTGCTAAATTGGGAAAATGGTGAAGTGGCTGCTGATTGGCCAGCTAGACCAATTATTCGTAGTACTGATACTATGGGACAATATTCAAGCGATGATTTTATTCCAACAAGATGGTGTACTTTCTTAACAGCAAAACAAGCTGGTTGGTTAAGATTTACAGAAGAATTAGAGCCAAGACGGCATATAACTACATCAGGTCAGCCAAATAATGAGCCTGGATCATTAATATTATCAAAACAAGTGAATCTGTTAGCTCCATCTCAACCATCATTAAATTATATTGAAGATGATGATATCTCGGAACAAAAATACCAACAACATCAACAATATCAACATCAACAACAACCTCAACATGCTTCACATTCACATCGTACTGAACTCTATATCCCTAGAACACGATCAGAAGAAGTTTATCCACTTATAGATAATTTAAATTCGTCAAATTTATTTCCATCAATTAATGTTATAGCTGGACATAGTAAAAGTGCATCATTTACACGTATGAATACAAAACAATCTATATTTAATGAATATCATAAAGTAATTCCTTCACGTATACAAGTACAACATGAATCAGATGAACGTTCATGGGCAAGTGAAACACAAATCTGGGAAGAATATCAAGATACTTCATCAAGAACAATATCACCTGATAATAGTGATATACATGGTCATCGATAAACAATAATTATTAATGAATTTTTATACATATACCCATAGATATGTGTGTATTTATCCGGAAATCTAAAAATGGCTGTTATACTATTTGTTACCAGTTGCATTCTTCAATGGTTTATCAAACTGCCTCTCCTTTATCCCCTCCTATGTATACAAAATAATCGCTTGGAATACAATAAGAACATAAGAATATATACATATCAATATTATGATTGTTAATTTTACCGCAAAAGACTCCTCTTGTCACTATGACAACTGCTAATAATAATAATAACAAACTATGGTCAACGCTACTTAATTAGAATATATTTTAATTATAAATAATTCTTTATTTATTTATTTTTTTGAATGGCTTACAGTTTATTTCATTGGCTTTTTGTTAAATTTTTTTGTTTTAAATCACTCGCGTACATATCATACATAAATTACCCGCCATGAATAATAATAAACTCACAGACGCAGAAAAACAACAACAAATGTATTTTGCTTTTTTTTATTATTTCGATGCTTATTGCACTGAAAATCAACCTTTCGTTTTGTACTCAAAAAGAAGAAGAAGAAGTAGATGAAGAGAAAATACATTTGGTTACCCCCCCCCTTTTTTCGCTTTTGTATTATTATTACTAGTAGTACTATCTGTTTATTGAGCATTGAACGATTAGTAGTGCGTTACGCTGACTAATTGACTATTGAACAATGAATTTTGTGAGCGCGCTTTTTGAAAAAAGAAAAAGTTACCGCGAAATGATTGTTATAACAAAAATATTAATAGGTTAATTTAGAAAATGTTTAGTTTACATTCTTTTGTAATGTATATTTTTTAGTTGATTATTTTATCATTTTTAAAAAAAATGTGAATTCTTATCACATCTTATCTCACTTTGTTTTGTTTTCTTATGTATACAAGTATAAGGCTTAGAAAGTTTGAATCAAAAATAGGTAGTATCATGATTTTAATCAAAATTTTGTTAAGATAAACAAATCACACAGACACACACTCACTTTTGTTCAAAATAAAGTTTTGCTTTTTGCTTTTAAGCTGAAATTTTATTCTAATTGTTTAAAATTTCTTTGTTATAATAAAAATTTTAATCAGTAATTTAGTGTTGAACTTGTCTTTAAAGTTGCACTGATGATGATGACGTTGATGATAACGTCTAGCATGATATAAAAACGTCTGTAAATTGAAAGGTCAGGTTAAAGAGAAAAACTCAGACGAACTATACACCTTTAAATTGTGGATAATGACTAAGAGTGGAATCCAGAATGCCCATTTCGTCCTGTTTGTGACTCGTCAGTCGGACGTACCTGCACTTCCCAGTGAGTGATGATGTTCCCACCGAGGCTCGAACCCAGTGCCCATATTTTCAAACGCCAAAGGGTTATCCACCAGACCACTTGGGCCAAAGAGCCAACTCTTGTACAATGGGTCATATTAATTATTATTAATCAACCTGAGACCGACCACTTCGGTCCAATCAATCGACGGGAAAGTCTAAAAATTCTGTAGAACTGTTCACATCCTTGATACGGATGCTTCAGCGATGTCCAATGGTTAAAATGATGTCATTTGATTGACGGTAACTAGCAGTGAAATCCAGGATGTATGTTTCATCCTGTTTGGGATTCATCAGACGCATGTGAATAATGGTATATTCACTGACACTTACATCCAACACTCATCTTTTCAACTAATTCCCGTCGCATAAGAGGCGGCTCTAGTGACCCAGTGGATAAATCAAATTCACAGATGGTAAATTAGTCAGCAATTTTCAACCTACACAGTTTGAGGAGTGACATTTCACTACAGTAACCTGTGGAAACCGAATTATTCAAGTAACAATTTGTGATCTCCTTTAATACCATAAATGGTATTGAAGAAAGGAAGCATGTTTGCATAAATCTATGTACTGCTGACTGACTGACTGACTGACTGAGATGCTCGGTTGTATAGCATTTACATCAACCTGGAGTGTTTAATAGTCAGATCGTTCGTCTCAGACCGTCCGCATAAGCAGTGTACCCGGCTTGAATAAACTCAGAGAGAGTCGAACTATTCATGGATAATCCCCATCCAGGCATTAATGAAAACAAAACACGTAGATCAGCGAAGAGCCTCTTTTCGAAGAATTCATTTTCTTAGCTTTAAAATCGCAAGTATATATGAGTTATTTTGTATGCATGTGTACATTAAGTTTGTCAAACGCAAATACAATTGGTTCTAGTTATTTAAACTAAACAGGTGAAAATTGGTAACTGGAGTTACGTAATACAAGATCAGTCAAGAAGATTAGGTGTTAGTGAAATTAGGGGAGTAACAAAGGTGATAAGTTGTCACAAACAGTTGTTAAAAGAAGTTATGTAATAATATGAATAGTTTGATGAGTGAGTTTTACTCAGGATGCTCATAGGAACAAGGAAGATAATACGAAATCACGTAAGAGTTCTAAAAGAATACAAGAATTATAAGCAATTAAAGAACAGGCAAAGAAACAAAATTAAGTCATCAAAATCAAGAAATCAAATCAAATAAAAAAGTTGTTACCAAGACAGGAGAAGTGGTTGAGTAATCTTCTTTTGTATGCACAGCTCCGGTTTTTCTATGTGAATGGCCAGAGCTTCACCGATACAAAGAAGGTGAAACCGTATTGCCTTTGATAGGTTGTTCTTGACTCTGTAGATTACTTTGAAGCAAGAGGCGTTTGTTGAAATGGAATGATCAGTGTTAACCAGGTGTTCAATTATCGCACTCCTTATTGCACCACTATTGCCTTTTCGCAACCATGCTGGATAGTGTTCCTGAATCCTCTTAGACAGGGTGCGCGTCGAACGACTGATGTACTTGGCTTCACAGCAGCAGGTGAACTGATATATGCACATAGAAGTGGTCAGATGCGGGATCTTGTCATTGAGGCTTCTGCAGATCAGTGGGCGACTGGATCTGATCTGCACTGACAAATTTAATGTACCCACACACATACAAAATAACCATATATATTTGCAGTTGTACAGCTAAGAAAATGAATTCGCCGAAAAGAGACTGTTCGCTGATCTACGTGTTTTGTTTTCATTAGAGTCGAACTAGTTCAAGCCACCCAATTTCTGGCCAGTGGATAACGATTTACCATTTGAAAAGATGAGTGCCACGTCCTATTCTCAGTGAAAACACTATCAATCACTGGGGAACAAGCACATCCCTCTGACAACTACCGAAGAGGACGAAACGCTTATCCTGGATTGTATTGGGAGCCAACATCAACTAAATGTCAAAATAGTTAACGGAGTGCATTAGCCTACTGAAATTTTATAATTACAGTTTTTAGTTAAACAGTAGCTGACAGAGCCAATTAGAAAGTGACATTTCTAATTAGAAGGAATTATTTCCCATACTGAGTCACTGGACAAAAATATTTCTTTTTGAAGATTCATTTTCACAAGCTGCTGTACAAAAGTAGTTATATTTAACAAAGAAATCATTAGACCAATCAGATAGTGGTAAAATTTGTCCTCGAAAAACGTATTACGTAATGTAAGGTGTAGTCTAGATGGGATGACTGATTGAAAATTAGAGAAGCGGATAGAAGTTGGCATGATGTAAATAAGTGTGAGGAAATGACTAATCAATCTGATTGTGTGTAGAGGGGACAGGAACTTGTGGAATGACGACAAAGTGTTTCTATAAAATCCGTATGAAAACACAATTTTATTCATAAACAGTAATAGAGTGATAACAACATATGGATAATAGTAGGGCGAGTGAATTTATGTGGTGCTTTTGAATGCAGAGATCCAGTTTCAGATCCCCAATAGCCAGTGATGCAGCTATGTACAGATGGCTTATTCACAATCCCTTCGTGCGATATTAAGGGACTCTGTGTAGCATTGTGAAGGATTCATGCGGGTGTGCTTGATGTCCAGAGTTGACAAGGTGTATGAGGATGGAGCTTCTTCTCTTTGCCTATGGCTGGCTAGCTAAGTTGGAGACTGTTCCAGAATACGTTTGCGGACTTGACGTTATACGTGGACGATAAACTTCGCTCCACATTAACAAGTAAAGTGTTAAATACACATTGAGGTAGCCAAAAGCGATATCTTATCCTCAACGTTAAACTGAATTAACTGTCTTCTGGAGAATATGATACGTAAGGTGGTTGCTTGGAATTAATTCTTCAGACATTTAGAAAGGCGATTTCTAAAAATCTCTGCTTCGATGTCACCTTTCAATTCCAGCTTCATGTCGACAGTTTTCATAGGAGCAGTTGTGATTTTTGGCAACGGAGGCTTTTTCTTCATGTCTTGTCGATGAATCTTGGTGGACACCCGCTCTCGAGTAGGGTTTCACCCAATGAATTTAACTCATTCCCTATCATGTCTTCCGAACAAATTTTTCCAATCCTTGAACATAATACATGTACTATTTGTTGCTTTCGGACCAGTGGGACGAAGATCTGGAAGTTGGTGAACTGTCCCGTCCATGTTGGCTTGCGAAATACTGGTCTTCAGATCGTGCAGTCTTGTCTTCTGGTAGATAGTTCATCCAAGAATGAAAATACCATGTCTGATTCGCGTTGGTGGGTGTGCCACATTGAAGGTTTTGAGAAGATACTCTAAATCAAATTTTTCATCACAAATTATGAACGTATCAACTACGTATCTCTTATATAGGTGAAGTTGACTGATCAAAGGATCGAGGATATTGTTTTCGAGACTCACCACGAAGCAATCAGCTGGGAGTGGACAGAGAGGATACCCCATAGCTCCACCATCTTTCTGTACATAGAATTTTTCATTGAATTTGAATTGGATATTAAACTTGTATCTGAGAAGTAGTTCCTTTAGGTAGTTGTTGGGAGGGGGAACTTCTAGGTTGTTGGTTTCAGTGTAGTCACAGATGAAGCATATTGCCTCGGTCAATTGGATGCTTGTGAATAGAGAGATGACATCTAGTGAAGGCACTTGTTTTTCAAACACGTTGATATCTTTCACTAATTGTAAGTATTCAA